GGACAGAGAGAGAGGGAGACACAGAATCTGAAACAGGCTCCAGGCTCTGGGCTGTCAGCACAGAGCCTGACACGGGGCTCAAACTCACTGACTATGAAATCATGACCTGAGCCAAAGTCGGTTGCTTAACGGACTTCTTTACTATTCTTAAACTATTTTCTGTGCATCACAGGGCTGAGCAAAAAGGTAAACATGGATGTTATTAAAAACCATGCTTCTTTGGACAAGGAAGATGCACAACGCAGTAGGGAGGCTGGAATGAAATTAGAACTATCAGTATGAACTAATTTTGAAATATTTACTTGTGAGCTCTCTCCACTGAATTGACCTAGAAGTTGGTAGCAGGCCTGGGGCAAGAAAAATCAAAATTATGTGTGCCAGAAAGCAAGGAAGCATTCAAAACTCATGGAGACATGTCAAAATTCTATAAGAATTGGCCTGAGGATGGGAAATGCAGCCACTCTGGAAAACAGTATGAAGTTTCCTCAAAACATTAAAAACAGAACTATCCTATGACCCAGCAACTGCACTACTAATTGTATTTATCCAAGGGGTGCAGGGGTGCTGTTTCGAAGGGGCACATGCACCCCAATGGTTATAGTAGCACCATCGACAACAGCCAAAGAATGGAGAAAGCCCAAATGTCTACTGATGGATGACTGGGTAAAGAAGAGGTGGTATCCATGTACAATGGAGTGTTACTCGACCGTCAAAAAGAATGAAATCTTGCCATTTGCAACTACATGGATGTAACTGGAGGGTATTAGGCTAAGTGTAATCAGTCAGAGAAAGACAAATATCATATGACTTCACTCATATAAGGAATTTAAGATACAAAACAGATGAAAATAAGGGAAGGGAAGAAAATATAATATAAAAACAAGGAGGGGGACAAACCATAAGAGACTCTTAAATGTAGGCAACAAACAGGGTTGCTGGAGGGGTGGCGGGAGGGGGGATGGGCCAACTGGGTAAGGGGCTGAAGGAGTCTACTCCTGAAATCATTGTTGCACTACATGCTAACTAACTTGGATGTAAATTATAAAAAGTAAATAAATTATTAGATTAGAAAAAAAAGAACTGGCCTGAGGAAGCTCCCCTCGGACAACTTGGGTGGAATTTTATCATCAGTGAGCATAAAGTATTGTATTTAAAAAATAAATTTTAAAAGGAAGGAGGATTCCAGCTCCGGCCATGCTGAAATGCCTTGTAGAGCTAAGCTCCTTGCTGATAATAAATGAAATAGGTGGTGCCCTTGGGAGGGCAGTGGAGAACAGCCGAGGTGGACAGAATTTGAAAGGCTATGCCCTGCAAGAGGAGAAGTGTATGCCAGGAATTGCACAAACACCCCCACTTTTTCCATAGGAGCATTTCCCACTTTCCAATGCGGGGACACCAAGTCCGGCCAGAAAGCAGAAGACCTAGGGGCTTGGGGAGACAGATTGGATTCAGGGCCGCCAAATCAGCTGGGACTTGAGGGGTAAAGTTGTGAGATGAGGAAGACCAGCCCCAACATGAAATTCTCTGCACAGATGCCTCTCAAGTCTCCGTCTCCGGCTGTGATTGCTTAGGGTGAGACCGACACCAGGAAGAAAGATTGGTAGGCTAAGGAGCTAAACAGGACACACCAGCCAATGAAGAGGTGTAGAGGCAGATATTGGAGTTCACACCCTGCAGGACTGAGGGTCTTCATATGAGCCCCTCGGGCTTTCAGATGAGACTGCAACAGGGCCACATCTTAGAAGCTAGGGCAATGCTCTGGGACTGAGGGTCACATCAAGGAGTACAGATTATCCTCAGAATGAGGGGAAATTAGAATAAGCCAACCTTTTTTTTTTTAATTTTTTTTTTTAATGTTTTATTTATTTCTAGGAGAGAGAGAGAGAGACAGCATGAGCAGGGGAGGGTCAGAGAGAGAGGGAG